GCGCTTAAAATGGGGCCCATGGGGCAGGAACCGGCTACAGGGAGGGCAGAACAGACGAAACCTGCACAAGCTATCGCAAGGCCGGGAGAACTGGGTGACCAATGAAGTGTCAATTGCCCATTGCCCATGACAAGGAGACCTCCGGATGGCAAATATCGGAGGCCGGCAGAGAAGGGCTTGTATTGTGGGAGCAGTTGGTGAAATCTATGGAGGAGGATGGAGGAAGAAGGACGAGAAGGTAGAGGATAGAGGAAGAAGGACGAGAAGGTAAAAGGATAGAGGAAGAAGGACGAGAAGGTAGAGGATAGAGGAAGAAGGACGAGAAGGTAAAGGATAGAGGAAGAAGGACGAGAAGGTAAAGGATAGAGGAAGGACGAGAAGGTAGAGGATAGAGGAAGGACGAGAAGGTAGAGGATAGAGGAAGAAGGGACGAGAAGGTAGAGGAGAGGAAGGACGAGAAGGTCATGCTGATTTAATCAAGGTCACCTGAGGAATGAAGGACTCCCATCTGGAGAGGCCCCAGGGAGAGGACAGAATGAGTCCCGACCTAGTGAGCGTTGGGTCCATAGAACGGGAAGCATTACGGCTCGGGTACACTGGAGGACTCTAGAAGTGTAGGGATCGGATCCCCGAGCCAAGTCTCTGATGTGAGGAGCAGAACATCTCCAGACATACAAGTCACTTGGTATAGAGACGTTATGATCCTGCCCGGTGTGCCCAGTACTCTAAGTGCAGTGTAGGGAGCGGGGCAGGCACAAGGTTCAGCCCCTCCTCCTCCGACACCCGGGAAGTGACAGTTGGCGTATTCGGGGATCTCAGCAGCTTTTTGCTGCTCAGCCATCTTCGCACCTTTAGGCCCGTAACGTGATTGGTCAATAAGCAGAGAGCGGCGTTAGAGAAAAGACCAGCTTTATTATTATACACACTTCATATTAATGGATCCACTTTACAGATCGGATATTAAATAAATCCAAAATTTAAAAAAACAAAATAAATCGGATTTTAATCACATTCTGTTCTTTGGTTTTTGGCACTGAAACGAGGAGCGAAAACACGTCAACACAATCCTACGCGGCGCACAT